GTGATCAGGATTTGGTATGTGACCACGATCAGGACTCGGTATGTGACCACGATCAGGACTCAGTATGTGACCACAATCAGGACTCAGTATGTGACCGCGATCAGGATTCGGTATGTGACCACGATCAGGGCCCAGCCTGTGGCCTGGCTGAGGGACTCTCTGCTGAGGGCACCTAGGGATCTAAGGTGTCCAGAGCTCCCTGCATTCTCAGACTAGCTCAGCCCTGTGCTCGCTGTGTCCGCTGTCCCCGTCACATGATGAGCAAGGCCCAGTAAGTCTTCTCACACTCCCAGAATAGCTGCTGGGAGGTGGGGGGGGGGGCAGCCAGCACGTGGCCCCCTGCAGAGAGGAACCCCCTCTGCCCTGGGTATAAATATCCCTGCCTGGCTGTGAAGTTGTCAACCTTTTCCCTGGTGGTGGGTGCGGGGCTTCCCACAGGGGCTTCCCGCAGGTGTGCAGGGCCCTCCCTGCCCTGAGGCCCCCTGCCTGCTGAGCAGTGTGGGGTCCCCTCATGCCCCTGTCTATGCAGCCCTGGCCAGGAGGGCCTCTTGGAGTGGGGCCCATGCTGGGCCCACGTGCGGTCTGGGGGTGTACTGTTCCTGCTGGGGTCATCCAGTGACTTTGTAGAAGGGGCCTTCCTGGTGAGACTAGGAGGACAGACGTCTGGGGCGGCATCAGGCCAGGCTTCTGGTTGTGGACTGGATGAAGGTGGCAGGGGACGGTGGTCCCAGAGGCACCGGGAAAGGTTCTTCCAGCTCACATCACCCTGGTCATGGTTAAGGAGTCCCCCACTGGGCTTCATGCATTTCCACCAGAGCCTTTCTGTCTTGTTGAGGGGCCATGGCCCTGCCCTGGGGGTCTGAGGGGACACGACCCTGCCCCGGGGGTCTGAGGGGACATGGCCCTGCTCCTGGGATCTGAGGGGACACGGCCCTGCCCCGGGGGTCTGAGGGGACACGGCCCTGCTCCTGGGGTCTGAGGGGACACGGCCCTGCCCCGGGGGTCTGAGGGGACACGGCCCTGCTCCTGGGGTCTGAGGGGACACGGCCCTGCTCCTGGGGGTCTGAGGGGACACGGCCCTGCCCTGGGGGTCTGAGGGGACACGGCCCTGCCCCGGGGGTCTGAGGGGACACGGCCATGCCCTGGGAGCCCCAGTCAGGGGGTCCCGACCCCTGAGCCCTGCCTCCCCCCCAGCAGGACCTGAAGAAGTATGGGGCCACCACCGTGGTACGTGTGTGTGAGGTGACCTATGACAAGGCCCCGCTGGAGAAGGACGGCATCACTGTGGTGGTGAGGCCCGTACAGTGGTGGGGGGCCGTGGTGCAGGGCCCTGCTGCGTCACTGGGCGGGGTGTTGTGGCGGGTGGGCCCAGCGAAGGGGACAGTAAGTGGGGTCCTGCCACCATGAGGGAGACCACCTGCCAGCGACTGTCACCTGAGTGTGTTTGTGCTGGGCCACATGTGTGTCTAGGCTCATCCTGGGACGCCTGCCCTGCCCTGCCTCACCCTGTGACCCCAGGGAAGCCTCCCCCATCTCTGTATCCTCCTCTGTCTGCCTCTAATGTGGGCCTGCCTGGCCCCGGGTTGTCCTGAGGGTCTGGAGGTAGGAGACGTAATGTGGGCACTGGTCACAGCTCACTGGAGCTGGGCCCTTCCTGTGTGGCCTGGCCAGACCCCCTCAGACCCACGGCGTCTGCCTTCACACAGCCACATGCGGCCTGGCGGATCTCCATTTCCCTGTGGGGAAACAGGCTCCAGGGCCCAGCTGTCCGCGGCCACACGCAGAGGGTGGCGTGAGTGTCCCGCTAGGGAGTGGCCCTCTAGTACCAACACCCCTGCCTGCCAGGCCCCTACCAGGGGATGGGGCTCCAGCACCTCCACGGCCCTGCGTTGGGGGGAATGGCCTCCCGAGGCCAGTGAGGCCTGCTCAAGGGCATGGGGAGAGCCGGATCCCAGCAGGAGGATGTGGCTGCCGGCTCCACACCGGAGCTCCCGTGCCTGCCCGCCTGTCTCCAGGGCCCATCACGGTCTCCAGGCCTTCTAGTGCTTGGCCCTGTTGCTCGGCAGCGGGTGCTGTGGGGCGGGGGAGCAGACGTTCTGGAGCCGGGGAGGGTGCACCAGGCGGGTCCCCGGAGGCTCGGAGGAGGCCGTGGGGAGGGGCCCATGGGGCTGTTTCCCTGGCTCCCCTGGCCCTGGGCCCCATCCAGGCAGAGGGTGGGAGGCTCTATTGCCCCTCTCCCAGTGAAATGGAGCCACAAGGCCAGTCCTGTGGGGTCGCCCCCAGCCTGGTGGGAGAGCAGCCCCCCCATAGTGAAGGGCTTCCCCGACCTTGGCTTGCAGTGTGGAGTGGGGGCTGCCTGGTGTTGGGCGCCCCCAGCTCTGCTGGGCCTCAGTGTCCCCCCCCAGCCCTGGCAGATGTCACCGTGCTTAGTAGCCACTTGCAGTACTTTGGAGTGGTGGGAAGAGCCTGACTTTTGGGGTCAGACGGGTCTGGGCTGGATCCTGCCGCTACCTCCCACCTCTGCCCCCCACAGTGGGTGACCACGCTGGTCGCTGGTCGCTGGTCGCTGAAGTCGCAGGTTCTATAAAGTGCAGGTGACTGAAGGGATGCGAGAGTCTGGGAAGCACCTCTCAGCCCTGGGCGCCCGTGGCCGTTCCCTCCGTGCCCTGCAGCAGGAGGGGTTTGGGTTACACTGAAGGCAGCCGTGCAGGCCAGCTGGCCTCCAGGGAGGGGGCCCCTCTGGATTCACCCCCTCATGCCACATGGCTTGGGTTCTGGGGCAGCTCCCCTCAGCTGAGTGCATTGCTCTGCTGGGATTTCCACATCTCTGCTGTCCCTGGGAGCATCGGTGAACATGATCTCAAGACTGCCCCTTCCAGTCGCCAAGGCACGGTGGGAACCATAGTTAGTTTTCCAAAACCAAATTAGCTCCCAGGGACCCACCAGAAAGGCCCCAAGAGTAGCTAAGACTTTGCAGTCCAGCAGGGCCCCAGGACTCCCCCACACCCTTTTCTTCATTACTTCTGGGTACCTGGGCTGGGCCTGCTCTCGTCTGGGCGCTGGGACACACAGAGGCACTTGCTTACCTTGGTTTGGGGGCAGTAACCAGGGTGACTGCAAGGGACAAGGCCCAGTACCTCTCAGGCGGGTGGGGGTCAGGGCGGGAGTGTGGGACCCCAGAACCACAGCCAGCTGGTGGGATGGAGGGGCGAGGGTCTTGGGGCTCCCAAGGGCCCTACTCAGGAAAGGGCAGGGGAGTTCAGGGAAGGCTTCCTGGAGGAGGTGACTGTCAGCAGGAGAGGAGCTGGGGGGCCCTTCTGAGGTGCTCTAAGTGGGGAGGCACACGGCTCAGCTGCTTCTCCGCATCTGGCCATCTGCTTGCCCCCCAGGCCTTTGGTCTCCCACCCTCGCAGGCCCAGTACACCCTGCCCATGGCTGGCCAGCCTGATCCCAGGTGCTCCTCCTCCCCGCCTCGGGGCCTGGGTCCTCAGCGGGCTGCTTCCCTCCCCAGGACTGGCCGTTTGACGACGGGGCGCCCCCGCCCGGGAAGGTCGTGGAGGACTGGCTGAGCCTGCTCAAGGCCAAGTTCTGTGACGACCCCGGCAGCTGCGTGGCAGTGCACTGTGTGGCCGGCCTGGGACGGTGCGTGGGGGCCGGGTGGCGGGCTGAGCTCGTCCTGGCATCTGCGCCCTGACATTCTTGGTTCTTGGCTGTGGGGTTTGCTCCACTGCACCCATAACCCCCTTCCTAGAGGGTTCGAGGATCCCAGAGTCCTCCTATAGCCCTGCAAGGGGAAAGTTCTTCCCCAAGTCTGACTCGATGCCCTCCTGATCTGGTTGAAACCATGTGTGCTGGCCCGCCCTGCCCCTCCCTCCCCGGGGCCTTGGACCCCACTTGAAGGGAGAACGGGCGGCGTGGTTTGGCTGACGTGGCCCAGGCAGTAGAAGCCCTGTCTGCAGAGGAAGGAAATGGGCCCGGAAGGGTGGGGGGGCCACCCTTGTCAGGCTCTGCTCTGGAAGGCCCCAACCCCGAGCTTCACCTGCATGCTCCTGTCTAATCCTCCTGCCCACACATGGCACCATCAGGGAGCCCAGCTCAGAGAGGTTGCTGGGCCTTCCGACGTGGCACAGTGGGGAGGTGATGGAGCCAGATTCGGACCCGAGATTCAGACCCAGCTGTCTCTGAGCCTGTGCTCTCCACCAGGGAAGGTGGGATGTGGGTGGAGCTGGTGGCACCCCTGGGCTCAGGGCATCCACTCCCTGTGTCTTCAGCAGGCCACCTGTCGGGTGGGATGGGGAGGTGGAGGCCCGGACCCCCTAACCCCGCCTTGCCATCCCCAGGGCCCCGGTCCTCGTGGCGCTGGCCCTGATCGAGAGCGGGATGAAGTACGAGGATGCCATCCAGTTCATCCGACAGTGAGTGGCCAGAGGGGTGTGGGAGGGCCAGTTCCATGAGCAGCTGGGGTCCGACTTTAGGGAACCCTGGCCCTGTGCACCCTGCTCTGTGGGCCCGGCACCTTGCCAGCAAGCACGCCTGACCCGCTGGCCCGAGGTATCTGCTAAGGTGTCCTCCTCTGTCACGCAGAGCCTCAGATCTGATGCCAGGCCGCCCGGGCACCAACTGGGGGATGGTTCCTGGAGGATGGCGTACACAGGGCCTTCCTCCCAGGTTCACTGATGGCGTCAATGCCGCCGTGTACCTGGGGATGTGCTGGCTGGGCTGCCCCTGAGGGCTCGACTAAGTGTATCACCCGTTCAGTCCTCCCGGCCAAGGTGGGGGAGAGGCTGTCCCTGGCCCCCGGAGCCCCAGGGTTTGGGTTGGGCCTGCCTGTTACTGCGGCATGCCCAGCTGTGCTGACTGACGCAGTGTCACACTGAGGGACGCACACGAACCAGAGCCGTAGAGGTGGACAAGGCCGGGCCTTCTGCCTTAGCCTCGAGTCCTGTAGTGTTGCTGTAACAGAAACAGCTCACAAGGGCGGCTTTAGAGAACAGACATGGATTTCCTCACAGTTCAGGAGGCTGGACACCCGAATTCAGGGTGTGGCTCTAAGGGGGAGGTCCTTTGTCTGTTTCACCTTCTGGTAGCCCACAATCCTTGGGGTTCCTGGGCTTCTAGATGCATTGGCCGTGTGTGTTCGTATGGCTCTGTCTTGCCCCTGTGTAAGTTTCTGTGTCTGTTCTGCTCCGCATAACTCAGAAGGGATTAGGCTTAGGCCCACTCTATTCTTTTTTTTTATTATTGTTGTGGTTTAAGTGAAAGTTTACAATTCAAGTTAGTCTTTCATACAAAAATT